CCATTTCCTCAGCATTTCTATCAACCTCTATCAAACAGAGCGCTACTTACTGTCTCTGGGCACTTGGAAACTGGCAGCATTATGGCCAACACGCACAGAAGCTGGAAAACGGCTCCAAAGAAGAGGCCGCAGCGCAGCACGTTCTCCATCAGCGTGGGCTCAGGGATCTCAGGGGCCGAGAAATGCACTTCAGCGGCCATAGCGCAGACAGCCTGCTGCTCTGCTGCTCTCCAGGAGGCTGCTTTCTACAAGGGGGAAACGAGAGCCATCATTCCTATCGTGCGCTCCGACGCTGTGACTTCCTGCTAGCAAAAACTCCCAGCCTGACTCACAGACGTGCTCTCAAGATATCCTTGGTCTTCCGACCCAACCACAAGGAGGGACGCCAAACTTGCATTTCAGCCAGAGCTGAACAGGCAACAATCAACTTCTCCCTGAGGTTGATCGCACATGCACGACCACTGTCTCATGAACACTAACAACAATAGCATTAATCCCATCAGTTGCACATTTGCATCTACCTGGGTACGTACGTGTTCACGGCCTTGCTGCTGCTGTGCCGGACGGCACCAAGCACAGAAATAAAGCACGCAGAAAGCCCATCTGCTGAGCACAGGGGGATGAGCTGGGCTCACGCCTAAGCACTGCTTACTGCAAAGTAAGGCACGCCTACCTGGCAACGGCCACGCAGGATGCTCGAGACACAGTCACACACTGTTCTCCTGAGGCCCAACGCAATGGCGCAGCCACTCACACTCTGCTCCTCGACGGTCTGCAACACAAAAGTCACAAGCTGGAAATTCAAGCCATCCAAGATGCCATCGGGCCTCCGTGCTCACGGCACTCGCACTCATGTCTTCGGACGATCAATCAGGCGTGTGCTTACCGAGTGAGCGATGCTCACTTCCACTTGACAGGAGCAAGCTACCCCTAACTGTCAAGTATGAACAGGAACCTATGCCTAACACTAAAAGACTACAAGTAACCTACACCTAACTCTAACATAAGAACAGGAACCTATGCCTAACACTAAAAGACTACAAGTAACCTACACCTAACTCTAACATAAGAACAGGAACCTATGCCTAACACTAAAAGACTACAAGTAACCTACGCCTAACTCTAAAATATGAACAATAATCTACTCCTAACACTAACACTAAACACTAAAATCAACAACAAAAACAACAACTAAACTATAACACCTGCAGCATTTAAATGGGAAGAGGAGAACTTGGCTCCACAGGAGGCTCGGAGGAGGAGCTGATGGAAACTAATGCCACCCAGCTAATGCTGGGGGCGGGGGCCGCGCAGCGGGTAGGGAGCCGAGCGCCTGGACCAGCGGCGGTGGAGCTGTGACGGCGCCGATGCGGGGCCTGGCACGGTGGTGTGGTGCCAGGCCAGCTGTGCCGCAGGCGGATCCACCTCCATGGGCTCATCGGGAGGTGGATCCACCTCCATGGGCTCATCCGGAGGTGGATCCACCTCCATGGGCTCCACGGAGGTGGTCACAGCGCTGGCCCAGGCGCGATGCAAACGCACTCTCTGCCCCCTCCTCCGCTTGATCTTAAAGGCGGCCCCCCTCCTCCTCTTCGCTTCTGGGAAGCCAAGCTCCCTCTTCCCATTTAAAATAGGGCAAACTTCGCCCCTCGCTCTCTTCGCTCCTGGCATGGCTGCCAGAGCTCTCAGAGCGAGTGCGTTGGCCCGGACAGCGGTGACCAAGGTGACGGCTGTGATGCGGCGAAGGTTCTAAAATGGCAGCCGCACTGCTGGCAATGGCGTTCCACATAGCATGAGGAGGGGGCTGGAGGACAGGGCACGGGACGGCAGCTAGAAGGCACTCCCTGTGCCCAGCGGGCAGCCCTTCTCTCCGGCAAGCAAGAGGCCACAGAGGAGCCGGCCCCGAGAAAAGGGCCCTCGGCCTCCTTCATCCTCTCCCTTCTTCCACACGGGAATCTGTTGGGGCTGGGACACGCAGCACACGGCGCCATGTTCAGGGGCCTCCCCAGCCCAGCGCCAACAACAGCAGGCTCCAAAGCACACCTCGCCACGCCTGCCTCCTGGCACACACAAGCTCCGCTTTCCACGTTAGCATCCACCGCCTCTTCTTGCGCCTCACGGCTGGGGATTCAACCATTCCCTACCATCAATACGGCCAGCTGCATTTTCATTACAATCACTCTGACTCCTTTCCACATCCGCGCACAATGCTGCCACACACACGGGGCCACCCTGGCTCACCGATGCTTCGCGGGGACCCACACAACAGCATGAGCAAAGCAGGCAGAAACGTGCCGTGCTCCTGACTGATGGCAGTCTTAAAATCTCCCTCTCCCTCCCCCCCAGCCTACTAAGGCAGCAGTTCTCCCGAGCAACAAGCACAGTCACACACAACTGCAGCCCTGGCTCGTCCTGACAAGGGACGTCCACAGGAAGCACATCTTCACAAACCTTCTTCCAGCTCCGCACCCTCCGGCCAACACAGCACCCACGCGCCTTGCTCCACTGCCCGCCCGGGCTTTGCTGGCTACAACTCGGCCCTACGGGGCCTCCTCCTTCGCACACCCGAAACACCAACAAAGCTCCGCACACGCACGGCCTTCCCTGAGAGGAAGCTGCCCCCCGACCCCGCAGCACTCGGCGGCGCCGCACGCATCGCCTCTGCGTGCCGGCAGCACCGCCAGCTCCTCCCCCGAGCGCCCCTCCATGCCCCCGCACCGAGCCCCGACCCCGTTCCCAGCACACAGCCCGCTCCTCCCGGCCCCGCTCACCGGCCCGGCGCCGCCATGCCGCGCTGCCCCGGAAGTGCTCTCCGCCGCCAGGAACCACTTCCTGCCCCGGCCCTACCAACCGCCTGCGGCGTCACGTTGCTGAGGGCGGCCCGGGGCCTGGAGGAGGGGGAGGGGCAGCTGGGGGGCCCGCTGCCGGATTCCCCTCGGGTGGCGCCGGCGGCATGCAACTTGGCTTCTTCTCCTTTTCTGCCTTTTCCCTTTTCCCCCTTTTGCTTTCCTTTGCCTTGCTTCTCTTTTCTCTTCCTTTCCTTTTCTCCTTCTCTCTTCCCCTCCACATTTCCCTTTTTCTTTCCTTTCATTTCTTACTTTCTTCCCCTCCCCTCCCCTCCCCTGCCCTGCCTTCCATTTGCTTTCTGTCCACACTCAGTCTGCACATCTCCAATGGACATGCCTGGAGAAGATCACCTACGCAGACAGTAAATGGCTTGTGCTGTGCTTCACTGCTTTGTGCTCTTGAAAGACTCTGATTTGTTTTGCCCTTTCCTAACCCCCAAGTATCAGGAGGGCCCGGCTGCCTTTGCTGCGGAGCCTTATCACCCCACAGTCTGAAGACTTGGGGGAAAAGCCCAGCAGCTCCGGAGCTGCCAAGGGAAGACTTCATGCCCTGGCCTTCATACAGCCCGCCTCTCCCCGCTCTGCTCTGCACTCCTGGCATCCCCTGCAGCCCCTGTGCTGCGACAAACACGAGCGCGGCTCGGGCCCAACGCCCTCCCTGCTGCACGCCCTCTCACGGCCCCATGTGCTGCACCCACACCACTGCCCCAGCCCCGCAGCCCCACGCACCGGGCTCGGCCCCAGCCCCCAGGAGCTGATGGAGGTGACTCAGCCCCCGCTGCATCCACACCCAAACCTAACACGCACTAACCGCTCCTAAATACTCCGTTTCCCTCCTTTGCAGCCAGCTCCTTGCCTGCACGCAGCCCCACAACCCGCTCTTTCCTCTCCAGCAGTGCAGCAGGCAGGCGGGCAGGCAGGCAGGCAGCAGAAGGCAGTGCCATGTAGCACGCTGCACCCAGTGCACTGTGCAGGCTCCTTCATGGAAGGAGGAAGACACCGACGCGCCAATCCAAAATGGCAGGCAGACACTCTTGATGTGCAGCCTCTCCTCTCGTGCTGGCTGACGCAGCACCCAGTGACACAGTGGCACAGCACCAAGGTGACACAGTGACACAGCACCCAACTCCACAGCACCCAGGTGGCACAGCACCCAGGTGGCACAGTGACACACACTCAGGTGTCACAGCACCCAGGTGGCGCAGCACCCTGGTGGCAGAATGACACAGTACCTAGGTGACGCAGCACCCAGGTGATGCAGCACCCAGGTGACACAGTGGCACAACATCAAAGGTGGCACATCACCCAGGGGGTACAGTGACACAGCGCCAGGTGATGCAGCACCCAGCTGACAAATTGGCACAGCACCCAGGTGGCACAGTGACACAGCACCAGGTGAAGCAGCACCCAGGTGACACAGTGGCACAAAACCCAGGTGGCACAGCACTCAGCTGGCACAGTAACACAGAACCCAGGTGGCACCCTGACACAGCACCCTGGTGACAAAGCACTCAGGTGACACAGTGAAACAACACCCAGGTGATGCAGTGACACAACACCCAGGTGGCACATTTACACAGCACACTGTTGACGCAGCACCCAGGTGACACAGTGACACAACACCCAGGTGGCAAAGTGGCACAACACCCAGGTGACGCAGCACTCAGGTGGGAAAGTGACACAGCACCCAGGTGACACAGTGACACAACACCTAGGTGGTACAGTGACACAAAAGCCAGGTGACGCAGAGCTCTGATGGCACAGTGACACAGCACCCAGGAGACGCAGCACCCACGTGGCACAGTGACAAAACACCAACATGACGCAACACTCAGGTGACACAGTGGCACAGCACCCAGGTGACACAGTGACACAGCACCCAGGTGGCACAGTGATACAACACCCAGGTGACGCAGAACTCAGGTGACACAGTGATGCAGCACCCAGGTGACACAGCACCCAGATGACACAGTGGCACAACACCTGTATGACACAGTGACACAACACCCACGTGACGTAGCACCCTGGTGATACAGTGACACAGCACCCAGTTGATAAAGAGCCGACTGGTTCATGGCCCCGCAATTGCCAGCCCAAGCACAAGACTTTTTGACCAGCTACTGAAAGAGGCAGCACCGTGTTTAAAAAGTTGGTTTCATTTTTATTCAAAACAAAAGGCTCTGGATTGTATTTATCAACACAGCCCAAAATGAAACCCCAGCGTCCAGGGTTTCTGCTTAGCAATGAGTCATTCAGCCTCCAGGCAGACACGAGGAGAAGCCTGACCCTGTGGCTATGTCAGCTCCTCTCTCTCCAGGCCCGGCTAGCCGTACTTCAATCTCATACTAGACCGGCCCTGGCCCTGAAGAGACACAGCCTGAAGAAACACAGCCTCTCCATCTCTTGCCATAGATGAAGACCTGCCTCTGGCAAGCCCTCTTTGCTTGGAATGCAGCACAAGCCCTTCCCTTCCAGGTGCCTCAGTTCCACTGCACTGCCCGTGACAGGGAAAGCACGGTCATGCCAGAAAACCGGACGCTGACTCAGTCCGCTGCCTTTGGTGCCATCGCCGAGGAAGCATTCCAGCTGATTCCAGTATCCTGTGGGCCTTCTCGCTCAAGCCCTTCTCACTTCTTTTTGCTCTCCTTCTGGGCTTCCTTCCTCAGCTGAGCAGCACTTGCCTTGGCTTTCTTCACTGTCTCGCCAGACTGAGTGTCAAGACTGTGCCAGTCCTACAAGAATCAAGGCACAAACGGTCAGGGAACCTTCACAGGTAACAAGTGGCTGACAGCTCGCTTGGGGAGCTCAAGTCACCGCCCGGACAGCTGTGGCTGCCAGCACTGGAAACCGCCTTCCTGGCATCAGGGCACGCCAGAAACTCCACCTCAATCTCCTTCCCAAAAGTCCCATACGAACTCGAACCCAAAGCCATCTCCTGCAAGGCAGCGCCTGCACAGGGCTTGGACACTGCCTGGCAGCACACACAGCACAGCAGCAGCAGCAGCAGAGCTTGCACCCCAAGGCTCCTGGTGTGCATCAGGAACACGCGCACACGGAAGGAAGGGCAGGACAAACGACGGCACTCTCAGCAGTGCTGGGCACAGCACCGTAGGCCACAGCTACAGATTGTTCCCTCCCTGCCCATTGCCCATGCCTTTCTATCAGCCTCAGAGAGCACAACTTACTGGCTTATGGCACCTGGAAACTGGCACGATTACGGCCAGCGCACAGAGCAGCTGCAAAGTGGCTCCACAGAAGAGATGGTGGCACAGCACGTTCTCCGCCAGCGTGGGCTCGGGGATCTCAGCTGGGAGAAATGCCCTTCAGCACCACACAGCAGGCAGCCTGCTGCTCTCCTGCTCTCAAGGAGGCTGCTTTCTACAAGAGGGGAGAAAGAGTCGTTATTCTCTCGCGCACGCTGCTGTGACAGGCTGACTTAGAGCTGTTTTGAACATCTCCTTGGTCTACTGACCCAATGACAACGAAGGACACGAAACTTGCAGCTGCGTTGTCTTTTACCGCCTGCCGAGGAAAAGATTCCTCCAACTTGAGCATTGCTCTGCTTGCAGGCGAGGGGAGCAGGAGCTGAAAAGGACAGGAGGACACAAAAGAAGGGCAAAGCTTAACAGAAAGCAGACCTGCTGCAGACAGTGCCACCAGCTGTGTTTGAACAGCAATGCCCCAGCGCACGCTCACAGTAAGGCACACCTACCTTGCAAGGGCCGCTCAGGAAGGTTGTGACACAGGCACCCATTGCTCAATTGCTCCCCTGAGCCCCAACTCCATTTCTCAGCCACTCACATGCCTCGATGTTCTGCAACAGAAAAGTCACAAGACGGAAATTCAATTCATCGCAGACGTCCTCAAACCTCCCTTCTCAGGGCAGTCACACTCATTTCTCTGCATGAGAACTCAGGGAGGGCTTACCGAGTGAGCAGCATTTACTGCCAGTTGGCAGCAGCAACCTATGCCTAACTCTAAACTCCTAACAGGAACCTATGCCTAACTCTAAATTCCTAACAGTAACCTATGCCTAACTCTAAACTCCTAACAGTAACCTACGCCTAACTCTAAGCTCCTAACAGTAACCTACGCCTAACGCTAAAACTGAACTGAACACTAAAACTAAGCTAACACTAAAATCAACAACAAAGCCCAGAAGTGGCACCTAACTCCTACGGGGGGGAAATGGAACCGGGGGCCCGCAGAACCGCAGAGGAGCAACAAGATGGAGGAGGAGCAGATGTCAGCAATGCCACCCAGCAAATGCCGGGGGCAGGGGCCGTGCAGAGGGTAAGGAGCCGAGCACCTGGACCAGCGATGGCGGAGCTGTGAGCGCACCAACACAGGGCCTGGCACGGTGGTGTGGTGCCAGGCCAGCTGTGCCGCAGGCGGATCCACCTCCATGGGCTCCTCTGGAGGCAGATCCACCTCCATGGGCTCCCCATGGTCGCTCACAGCGCTGGCCCGGGCGCGATGGAACCGGGCTCCCTTCCTCCTCTCCCTCCTCTGCCTGATGGTCATGGTGGGCCCCCTCCTCCTCTTCGGTTCTGGGGCCCCCAGCTCCCTCTTCCCATTTAAAACCACTCTCTCCTCAACTCTCACTCTCTTAGTGCTGGACATGGCTGCCACCTGCCCAGCACGCTTAGAGACGAGTGCGCCGGGTGGGGCGGCAGTGACCAAGGTGACGGCTGTGACATGGGGAAGGTTCTAAAATGGCACCTGTGCTGCTGCTGGGAATGGCGTTCTGCATGGGATGAGGAGGGGGCTGCAGGGCGCGGGACGGCGGCTAGAAGGCGCTCCCTGTGCCCAGCAGGCAGCCCTTCTCTGCGGCCAGCAACAGGGCACAGAGGAGCCGAAGCCGAGGAAAGGGCCCGCAGCCTCCTTCGCCCTTTCCCTCCTGCCATGTGGGAATCCACTTCTGGGGCTGGGCCACGCAGCACACAACACTCAGGGCACACTCAGGGATCTCCTGAGCTCAGCGCAAACAACGGCGCGCTCCAGAGTGGAGCTGACAGCGCCTGCCTGCTGGGAGACAGAAGCCCCGGCTTCCATTTCAGCATCCAGTGCGTCTTCCTGCGGCTCGAACATTGAGCGTCTGGGCACTCAAACATTACCTACGTAAATACATCCCAGCAAGTTCTCCACAAAACTTTCTGAGTCTCTGAGGGAATACGGTATAGGGAATAAGCTTCTGTGGGCAAAAGTCCACGCAAGAAGGACTTCCTACCATTCACTTCAGCTCTTCTGGAGCACGTGGTGATTCTGTCCCTTTAACTGTGAAAAATTTTGATCCCTGCAACCAAAATAAGAATCAATGGTTGCCAGCACCTAACAGAAATTTATTTGTTCTGTGGCACCGATGGATCACAGCAAGGACATGTAATAAGATTCCATGCAGCAATTAAGATGAGCTCTTGGAATGAAGTGTTTGGCAATGCACTTCAGGCTGATTATGAAACTGTAAGTAACAGAACCCAAAACTCCTGATCAGGGAATTGTACCCTGTTCTCTACACTACCACTCCTAGTTTAAATGAGAGCCCTACCAGAAAATTTACTCAAAGCTCTTGCAACAACTAATGACTGCCATACATTCTACCAATTAACGTGGCTTGACAGTAAATTCATCACAGAGAAATTGTGCTGATTAGGGGCTGTCACCACAAACTTGAAATTACTAAAAACAATAAAAGATTCCTATCAGAAAGATATTATTAATATTTTACCACTCCACTTTTAAGTAACTCATCACTCATAAAGTGAATGAATGCTGAGCTGCTGCTGAGAAATGACATGCTTTCATATTCTGCATCTCAGTGAAATGTCCTTAGCTTTGATCACGGCTGCTGTTAATCCTGATGTTCAAGACTCTCCTTCGCAAGTCCTGGAATCATTGCCCCTCAGAGCCAAATGAATAATTCTACTTCTGAATTTTTAAGAAATCAACACGGAGCTCATTTGCCTAGACATCTCTTCCAAATTGGTAAAGACAACTTTGTATTCTAAAGGTAACAGAAAATGAAAATAAACCCAGTCAGAACTGTCTAACTTCTATTTAATGCCTATGACTTCCTCCTGGATTGCCACTCACTTGCCCATCTCTCACTGTCTTCCTCTCCAACAACTCTGCAGCCATTTGGAGCATAAAAGAACACGGACTGAGAATGCCTCAGTGATGGTGAGGCAGCAAAACAGGTCACAGGACAGGGCCAATGAACGGATGAGTGGTGCTGCACCCCAGCCTGCCATCTAATTAGCACTCAGACAATGAAGATTTTGGAGCTTTGTCTTTGTACAAGAAAAGGAGTTGGCTTCCTTTTAGAAAAAAATATTTCCGTCACAATTTTTCTTTCCTTTCTGAAATCCTTACAGAAAAAGCAAACTCAAACCATACAGAAACAACCTTTTAAGCTTCTCTGATATCTGTTCTTCACTTTACTTACTGCCACTCAGTAGAGTGAGTACCAGAAGAGACCTCCTGACCAATGACTGATGTCCCATCCTTCCTCTACTCACCATCCTTTCTTTCTTCTTTATTCCAAACCATCAAATTTACTCTGCCTAACCGTGGAGGATTTTTGACAACGGTCTGTTGGAACAACGTGCTTCAGATAGGCAGTTTCATTGTTTGCTTTGCTATAGAGTGGACAAGTTATTACAGTGATTTAGATCAACTCAAAAGAAAACACGCATGGGGAAAAGCCTGATCTCTGCAGACCATGGGGCCTTTCTTTGTGTCTGTTATTATAAGAAGATGATGCTGAGGTCACTCGCTCTAGGGTTTGCTATAGACATGAACAAAAAGTAAATTAAAATTAAACACACTCAATATTCATGATTTAATTAGAATCAAGTCCAATTCATAATTCTAGGGACACATTGGCATTGCTTTCCTCTACCGTTACGATGCTGCTCTCACAGGTAGGAATCCAGAGCAAATAGGAAGGATTAGACAAGGACAGGGATCATCCTCCTCTCTCTCAAACTTCTCCAGAACAGCACGAAGAAAACTGTCCCCATTTCCATCTACAACAAATTCTTTTTACCTTGTTTGGAAGATAGGAGCAAGGGAGAAATGATAACCAGGCAGGTACTGCAACTAAAGCTCAGCCTGCCTTTTCATTTCATTCACATTTAATACCAGTTTTTAATCCAGTGACGCAGTTGCAACTATCCAGGCAAAATCATAGAATCATAGAATCATAGAATCACCAAGGTTGGAAAAGACCTAAAAGATCATCCAGTCCAACCGTTCACCTCTTCCCAACAGCTCCCACTAAACCATGTCCCTCAACACAACATCCAGCCTTTCCTTGAACACCCCCAGGGACGGTGACTCCACCACCTCCCTGGGCATCCATTCCAGTGCCTGACCACCCTTTCCGAAAAGTAATGCTTCCTAATGTCCAGCCTGAATCTCCCCTGCCGTAGCTTGAAGCCATTCCCTCTGGTCCTATCACTGATGACACGAGAGAAGAGGCCGACCCCCAGCTCACTACAGCCTCCCTTCAGGAAGTTATAGAGAGCAATGAGGTCTCCCCTGAGCCTCCTCTTCTCCAGGCTGAACATTCCCAGCTCCTTCAGCCTCTCCTCATACGGCCTGTGTTCCAGACATCTCACCAGCTTTGTTGCCCTCCTCTGAACACGTTCCAGGGCCTCAATATCTTTCTTGCAGTGAGGGGCCCAAAACTGGACACAGTACTCGAGGTGCGGCCTCACCAGTGCTGAATACAGGGGAACAATCACCTCTCTGCTCCTGCTTGCAACGCTGTTTCTGATGCAAGCCAGGATGCCATTGGCCTTCTTGGCCACCTGGGCACACTGTCGGCTCATGTTCAGCCGAGCATCAATCAATACCCCCAGGTCCATTTCCTCTACACCGTCCTCCAGCCACACCACCCCAAGCCTGTAGTGTCGCCTGGGGTTGTTGTGGCCAAAGTGCAGGACCCGGCATTTGGCCTTGTTGAAACTCATCCCATTGGCTTCAGCCCAGCTCTCCAGCCTGTCCAGATCCCTCTGTAGGGCCTCGCTACCCCCAGGCAGATCCACACTTCCAGCCAATTTGGTGTCATCTGCGAATTTACTGAGGGTGCACTCGATGCCCTCATCGAGGTTCAATAAAGATATTGAAGAGGACAGGCCCAGCACCGAGCCCTGGGGAACACCACTCACGACCGGTCGCCAGCTGGATTTGACTCCATTCACCACCACTCTCTGAGCCCGGCCCTCCAACCAGCTCCTCACCCAGCCAAGAGTGCAGCCATCCAAGCCTCTGGCTGCCAGCTTCTGCAGGAGGATGCTGTGGGAGACAGTGTCAAAGGCTGTGCTGAAGTCTAGGTAGAACATCAACAGCCTTTCCCTCATCCACCAGATGGGTCACTGATCATAGAAGGAGATCAGGTTGGTCAAGCAGGACCTGCCCTTCATGAACCCATGCTGGCTAGGCCTGATCCCCCGGTCACCCTGCACTGCCGCATGATCTCCCTCAAGACAATCTGCTCCATAAATAGATGAGAGATTGTGACTCCCATTTATAAGAAAGGTCGTAAGGAGGATCCGGGGAACTACAGGCCTGTTAGCCTGACCCAGCCTTCCCTGGCACCGAGGTCATCTATCTATCCTCTATCCTCTATCTATCTCTCTATCCTTGAGAAGTCCTTTAAACTACAGCTGTACTCCAGAGCCTTCTGCTGCAGACAGTTTGCATGGTATCATGAGTGGCTTCTGCAGTGGTCCAACACCACCAGCACACAACCAACCTGACACTGATTGAGTAGAGCTTCAGACCATTTCCAAGCCACTCTTCACTTCTGTTTGTACGCTTTCCTAACGCTGTTCCCCTATGTTAATAAATGTCACAATTAGGCTTGTAGTGCCTGAGTCATTGCCCCCAGTAGGAATGTGAAACACAATCAGCTCCACAGAAAGATCCATGCAAGGCTATCTGCATATCTGAAAACCTTTTGTCGATGCTCTGCACTGACCTCTGACTGCCTGTAAGACCATGCAGGTGAACTTCCAGCTAAAATGCCAGTCTTAAAAGAAATGACATTTTGGGACCAACAGGAGCAAATGTTGCTGGAGAGGCATGCTGTGACACAGCTGGACGCTGACAAAACCAGCCATGATGAGGAACGGAGGGGATGGCTGAAATACAGCAGGCACACTCACTGTGATGAGAGATGGCTCAGATGAGGCTGGGAGATGGACATGGGGGACAGATCACTCAGCGCAGCCTGCTCTGTTGGCTCATCTGGCTCAGCAGGGATGGCCTCCTTTCCCACAGCAGCAGCAGCAGGGGTTTCCTCGACCTTGACTTCCCCAGGTGGAGCTTCTTCAGCCTCAGTCTTTTGCTTTATGGATTTCTAAGTAAACAGTGGAAAATTTGTTGAGGAGCACATGATGGTGGGGAGGGAAGAAGGGAATGGGAGCTCTGCCTGGCACTGCAGTGCTGCTTCACTCCTAGCAGACTCAGTGCCAATGGCTTTGCCAGGAAGAGGACAGCCTTACGTTACTAATGATCATCTACAGAGCATCTTCATTCTCAGTGTCCTGAACAGAAACTGAGTCAGTCCTACATCCCTCCCTTGCCAGGAAAGAGAGTGCTAGCTTCCTGAGTTATTGAAAGCAGCAGCAGAAATGGGGGAGAAGTACTCAGTTTGCTCAGAAATGCTCTAGAAAGTGAGGGCAAAGTGAGGAGTGTCCCAAAGTATGATTTCAAACAGGATTTTTTAAAATTATCCCCTATCCCCCTAATTCCACTAGTTCTCAAACAAAAAGGTCTCTGTTGAAAGGGTGTGGACTCTGTTTGCACATAGGCAAGTACTAACTGCATGAATTCTGACACTGAAAATCATTGAATCATAGAATGGCTTGAATTGGAAAGGAACTTAAAGACCATTCAGTTCCAATCCCCCTGCTACGGGCCACCCATTAGATCAGGATGATCAGGACCAGAGGCACCCAGAGCTTCTCCAGGCAGCCTGTTCCAGTACCTCACCACCTTCTGAGTAAAAAAAACCTCATCCCTAGTTTCTTTTAATGCTTATTGCATCCTGAGACCTCAATCACCTACAAAGCTTCCGTTTATCGGCCATGCTTCTTCTGCAATTCTTACCCTCTACAATTCTGGCCTATGCTTATTCTTTAGGAAGCATATCTAGTAAACATCACCAGTCCTGCAAGATGTTTGGTCCTGCAGCAAAACAGCTCCCAGCAAAAGTGCTATTTCTGCTGGGGACAAAGCCTTGCAAACACACACACGCTAAAGGAGAGAGCTGCAAGCTGTGCTCAGCATATTGCATCTATAAAGATGGCTGACTCAGCGAGATTAAATAACCCCAGTAGATCAATTTGCCATGAACAAATTGCTCAGCATAACATGTACCTCAAAAGCTATCCAGCTGCTTTGCAGTTGATAAGATGCAGCTGGTCAGAAGGCCTTCTGTAATGAAGAGACATCTCTGAAATTCTTCAAAAGACGAAAATCTGCTCCCTGACATTTTTCAGAAACCAACAACAAAACAAAACCAAACAGAAAAACCCACCACCACACCAAAACATATCCTTTCAATTCTTTTCTCATCTATTCCTTTAGCAGGCTTATTTTTAATGAGGTATAGGGAAATCTGCCTAAGCACCACCTTCTGGATTTGGCAAAGAATAAAGAAACATTCATTATAATACACCACACTGTGCAGAAGTCTGTCTTGTGTGATAATACCAGTTCCAAGGAATTTCACAAAGAAAAAACATGATTGTAATGAGAAACAAAAGGCAGGTTTATCCCAGGTCAGATGGCTGATGAGTTTCCTGGGCCTTAATACTGGAAGGAACTTTCAGGCTTAAAATCAGAGGTAATGTGTTACAATGCAGATGGCACTGATGTGCTGAGTCACTTGCACACAAGCAGTCTTTAGGCTACTTGCCATCTGAACTACAAATACAAATACTCAGAATGCTCTCACGGTGCTCAGTGACCAAAGTCACATCAACAAACAGAATCACTCTTCTGCTCTCAGTAACGGTAGCGTTCACCCAGCAATGCTGCCACTCCATATCCTTCATTCAGGCTAACTGGATTCAGCAAGAGGAGCCCAGAAACCACCAAAGTAGGATCACTTCCAACAGTATTCCCCCCCTTAAAAGATGGTACCTACTAAAATATGGAAGATAGATAAAGCTGCAGTAATATGAGAGGTATGTGTACCAACAGCACACGTGAGCACTTCCTTGCTGTGCATTGGACCAAAGCACACATTCTTGCTTCTCTTAAGTGCAATAAATAAGTAAACTGACTGTACCTTCAAAAATTAAAAGTATCTAGACATCCTGTTTTTCCTTTTTTGCAGTGCTATCCTAGTGAAAGACTTTCAGAAAGTACAGATTTACAGCTGCAATGGTATACCCACCTATTCTTTCAGGTCAAGATTTAATGAAAAGTCTATAAATATGAATATAAATATTATAATATTATATATATATATATATAATATAATTGTATTATTATTATATTATAATAATATTATAATATATTATAATATTATTATTATAATTTATATATATATATAAATAATGAAAGGTCTATAAATATCTAAGGTGTGGGGGCAGAATGGCGAGGCCAGACTCTTTTCAGTGGTGAGTGGAGACAGGACAAGGGGAAACGGCTGGAAACTGCAGCATAGGAAGTTCTGCACCAATGTGCGAAGGAACTGCTTTACAGTGAGGTGAGGAGCACTGGAACAGGCTGCCCAGGGAGGTGGTGGAGTCTCCTTCTCTGGAGATGTTCAAGACCTGCCTGGATGCCGACCTGTGCGACCTGCTATAGGGAACCTGCTTTGGCAGGGGGGTTGGACTCGATGATCTCTGGAGGTCCCTTCCAACCCCTACAATTCTGTGTGATTCTGTGTGTGTAATTAGAGGATGGAAAACACCCATGTTTTTGTACAAAGGAGCAAATATTTTTGTACAAAGCAAAAAACAGTACCCTTTTTTTTACACACCATTTAGAAAGGAAGCAAAATCCACCACTTACAGAGTCTCTGTCACATTCTCATTTGATTGCACTGTAAATGCAGCGGCATCCTACCTATAGAAAATAAAAACAGCACAGCAACAATATTTGGCATGGGATGTCTCCAGTAAAGACCTGATTTTTATGGCTTACTCAGGCATAACCATCAATAGCTGAGCTTGGGTGGAAAATCGATAATCTAAATAGGCATGAATATCAATGTGAAAGACCTTCCTTTTTCAAAAGTGTTCCACGACTCTAAAATGTTTCAAGTTGTTCAAATAGGTGAAGAATCCTTCGCTGAATAGAAGTGAATTGCAAGGACTTTGCTTCAGGCACACTGCACTTCTGAACAGCGAATGCCAGAAGTTTATTTTGCCAGACTGCACGTGCACAGGGAGTGCAGAGCTCGGAGTTCCTTACACATCCTCTGGACTCTGGGCTTTTTATTTGCACAGCACACACTGCTCAGTAATTAGAGATGTGAAGCTTCGCATGCATTAATTAGAGAAAGTGGTGGCAGCTTTGTATTTTGGCCCTTCCTTCTGAATACTTTACTAATGTAAAAGGCCTGGAGCAAAATTAATAAGCACCGAAAGACTCGTTTTCAGCCTTGCAGATGCCCAGCTTTTTTGTGTGCATATCTAAACAGTGGTGTGCAGAGCATGCTGTGGGTAAGCCAGCCTCTGAAAGGTGCTGGAATTTAAGAAGGCCCCAGATTATCTGCATTATCACTTGGGATGGGGGCCCTGGAATTTGAGAGCATAAGTGTGCACTGCACTGCTGCAGTGCCTCGAGCAGATCCTCAGCATTATCATAGCAGTAAATAAACAACTCAGATTTAACTCCCAGACTAAAACATATGTTAGGTGAAAACAACATTGCAGAAACAAATAAAGCCCATTTCATGTATAAATGCATAAATACACAGAGTCACTGAACAGGTGTGAAAGCTGTGAGGAAGCCATGATTCACAGGATTTTGAGATTGTTAGAAAAATCCAAAAAAGAGAGCAAGAAAAATACTAATCCAGCTCTTTCATATGGAAAATAAGAAGACAGTCTTGCTAAGCTAGTGGGAGTTTTCAGCTAGGCCAACAGCGCCAGGAATATTAGCAACCTTCTAGGAACATCCAGGAAGACTTTCTGAGGGCAGACAAGTTCAGGATTCGTGTCAGCAGGACATTATAGTGCAGCTGCCCTGCAGAGCAGGGTTTTCAAAACTGTGCAGCCAGTCTTAATCTCTTCCGTTTGCGCCGCCCCGTCCTTACCCGGCGGAGGGCACGGGGACGGGGTGGGTTACTGGAGCTGCAGAAACGACCGCGGGCAGAAGCGCCGAGAAACGAACGGGAAACATTTAATCGACGAACGCACAGAGCGACAGAGAGACGACCGCGTTCCCAGCTGGCTCCCGTCCGAACGGCGACTGCGGATGATGGCGCGGTGCCGACGGGGGACGGACGGGCCCCCGGGCACGGGGCGGGCGGCAGCGGCGGGGACGCGGGGCGGCAAAGCGCCAGTTTCCCCGTACAGAGCCCCACGGCTCCTCCACCGCCAGCACCATCGTGCCGACCCCACGGCCACGGCCGCCATTGGCGGAGAGCCCACGCTCGGCCCCTCCTCCTCCGCGCCGCCATTGGTCAGCCCGCAGAACGGGGCGGGCGCCGCTCCCTGGGTCCTTTCTGTCTGCGGTCGCGCCGTCGTTGCGTCATCACTGCACGCATCCCAGATGGCCCCGGCCCGGCTGCCCACGCTGATGCCTGTCGCCGCGCACCCGCTCCACTTCCGGGGCTCCGGGAGGAGGAGGGCGGGTAAGCGGCGGACCGCGGTGAGACCGAGCCCACGCCGCCCCGTTCCATGCGGGCCTTCCTGGATAGCGGTGAGCACGGGCCGCATCCGTGCCGCCAGGAAAGCGCTGAGGAGTGCAGCCTTGTCTCCTCTTGCACCAGGCGCTCGTGCTCACGTATTGGTTCCGGCTGTGACTTGGAAATTTCTCCACAAGTCACAGTAACTCAGCAATTGGGGCGGACGATGTGATAATAGCTTCTCAGAAACAGTCGTGATATTCCCTCCTATTCTACTTGTAATATCAGGACAATCTACGCCTGACCTGGTACAAGACCTTTCTTGTATTTTCTTCCATCTCTTTCCCTGTGGTCCAACAGCCAATGAGTTTCTGTACAAGAAGAGAAACTCTTCTCAAAAAATAGGGCAGTTCTTTTCCTGGATGCATAACCTGGGGATGGTTTAAGGTCAGAATGCTAAGGGGAGGCAGCCATTTCTCTGCTTCTCTTTATCCCGTCCCTACAAGTCACCCAGCTGCAGTGTCTTGCACCCAGCACCACCCAAAAACCCCTTCTATTCCCACCAGGGATCTAAAGGAGAGTGAGTTGGAAGGAAGAAGTCTCCTCTGTGGCCTCACACCTTTCACATGCTGCAAAATCATGGGCTTTGCTCTAGTCTGTGTGTCACTGGAAGAGAGCACCACATTGGAAAATGAGAATCTCGGGGTGCCAGGGCTCCGAAGAATGTGGCCACAACATCTGTCAGAGCCAAGAGGCTGTGGGAGAATCCTTATCATCCCTCTTCAAGGAGATGGCACCGTCTTGCTCCCATTATGAGAGCAAGAGGAGGTTCTAGTCTATGTTCACCTGATGACGAGAATCATACACAAAGGGTAAATGTCAGCCTGTCCAGTTTATTACGAGTGCTGGTCACTGGGGGAGACGGGGAAGGGAAGATAGGAAATAGAAAAGATCAGAGGATGAAGACCTTGGGATGCGGTCAGAAATGAAGGTAGAATCAGATGAGGCGTCATGGAGTTACGGGTCACGCGGGATTAGGTGGTGGGGGTGAGGTGGCTGCATGTGACAACAGCCCTGTGTGAACCATACACCCAAACGCCCCTGTAATTATTCCCTGACCCTGCCTGCTCACATTACGCAGCGACCCACTGCCATATAGCCCCAGAACTCTGGGATCTATGCCAGCCCACCACCAAAGTTGGTCTGCAAAATGCCAGCCCACGACCAAGGTCGGTGCAAGCCAAAAATGAAAACTTGGTTTGCTACAGGTTTCAGAATACAAATGCTATTTAAGGAGGAGTAAAAGGTACTCCATATCTTTTCCTTTGAACAGTTCCTTTGTAACTGTGAACAGAGTTACATTTGGGTCACTGAAGCATTGCCCTGAGATGTTTCCCATTCTCCCCACGCAAAGATTCCGTGTTCCCTTTCTCTGCTGACACTTACTCTGGCAGGACTCCTACTTTCTTTGACTCCTGGACTTCTTCAGGGACTTCTCACGCCTGATGAGAAATGTTTGAAGATGATAACAGATTAGAAATGCATTGTCCCATACTCAAGAGGGAAATTGCTGTGCAACTCTAACGACAGAACGAGAGAGCTTTAGGGTACAGCAGGTTGTGCAGAGCACTGAAGAATCCCTGCTGCTTGTTGCATATACATACAGCTGCCATCACCTACATAGCGTGCTCTCTTGAAATCCCCCAAATGTGGTTTCATGTTGTGCATACAGTTATACTCTGGGAGCCAAAAAAAAACATGGCAAACTCGTAGTATGGGAAGTCTGGATTTGGCAGTAAAAAACCAAAAGTATGATAAACAGTACTCCTCATCATAGAGTATCTCAGACTTGCTATACGACTTGCATTTCATTACAAACCTCTAGAATATGAGTAGTAAAGTAGCGATCTATACTAGATTATTGTGAGCGGATGAGACAGACCTGTGTGTCCTGAATAGAAATATTTCTCCAGGAACAGAACAGCTACGCTCTGTTACTTCTGGCACTGCTTGTGTTTCGCAGGCAGCATTTCACAGTGGACTGACTTGCGTATGTCTAAGTGCATGTGTGATTCATCCATCATGTAATTAGGGATGGGAAAGCCATTTTGAGGAAGTGAGCTCGATTCACTCTCTCTCTTGAGTACTTGCTTAAGGTGTTTAAAGATGTTATTTATTTGGGAAGTACAATCGGTACAGACTGCTCTTTGGAGCCTCTCCTCCAAATGCTAGCTATTACAGGTGATTCTTTCATTTTTAATTGTGTGCTTCTTTTCTTAGATCCCCATTTCTGCCCTGGTGTCCTTTGTGGAAGATCTGGAGGTTGGATACAGCAAACACAACCTATTGCATGCTGCCGATGTGACACAAACAGTCCATGACCTCCTTTTCAAGACAGGTGTAGTGGTACGTACAGGAGTTGGCATCCTTAATATGTAATGAAATGGCAGTAGTTTTTGTTCGGTAAGGAGATGATCATTATCCACAGCAGACCCATTTGTGCTGTAGAAAAAATGTAATTTGCAGTGGCTGTGCTAATGCAAGTAGGCATTTGGGATCACGTAGAAGAATTTGGGTGAGGATATGGGTAACTGTTTTAATTGATGGGAGAGAAGATGAGTGAAAAACGCAAGCTAAATTCTCCCCTCTACCATCAATCTCCTGGCTGAGTCTAGCAAGTCAGTTTGTTGGGATTTCATTTCCCTTTCTGTGAAGAAACAAATTGCCTAAGCTTTCTTCAGAATACAAAATGAAGTAATTTATTGCTTAACTCAGTTTGGCACCCCTTTTTAAGCTATTGCTCACCATTTTCTCTTGCTGTCCAGTCTCCTTGGGCGCTGTCTCCTGAGCGCACGTGGAGGTGGATCCACCTCCATCAGCTGCTGTTCGTCTGGAGGTGGATCCACCTCCATTGGCTCCACTTTCCATCTCCTCCCCATGAGCCTCTTCTTCTTCTGGGGAGGAGGATCCATGTGTGTGAGGTGCCTCCTCGCCTCTTGCTGTTGGTATGGCAGTTGGAGGGCTCGGAACAGTAGGCAGTGACATGAGCAGTGTTCCATGGCAACCCAAAAACGAGAGTTTTTGGAGTTGGGGCCTATGGCCTGAGAGTTGCCCCTGTTTTGAAGGAGAAGGAAGGACATGGAGAACTGAAGGACTCTATCCTGGGAAGGGCTCATCTGTTGCATTGTGCTCGCCAGAGAGAATTTGTGGCACTTGGGCAAAAGGCCCCGTGGAGACTCCCTTTCTTCATCCCGTGCCTCAAATCCATTTGTACTGATGAGTAGCAGGTAGAGAGTCCTCTTCCTGGCAGCAGCTGGGTTCCTGCAAGTGGAGGCCAACAGTACTGTTGCCCAACTGTAGAGGAGAGGGGACAGACACTCCTCAGGAAGCCTAGGGACATGCAGTCAATAAAGAACTGCTGAATTTCAAGGGTGATGTGAATTCTCTTTTCCTGACCTTCCCTCTTGCCCCGTAGCCTAGGAGTGCCAAAGAGAAGGTGATGGTGGGAGAAGGCTGGGATGCTTGTACAAAGCATCAGGGTAACACTGTGACGTTTTACATGGGGAAGGGAGTGTTATATCCAACTACACACAGAATCAAAACCAGCTGTTTTCAACAAATCAGTAGAAATGGCTTGAGCAGATTCATTTGTGCTCACATTTGTTGGTGGTACATTGGTTGCAGCAGTTCTTCAAAGACACTGCGAGTTACAAGCAGGTGACTGGCTACTGTAAACAGATGGGCCAGAGGTAGTAACTGAAAAGGAACACCAACTAAAGAGTTTACATCCAGTTTTATTTCTGACTTGAATGAACATTCCCCAGAGATCAGTTTTACTCATTCATCTCAGAACACTGCAGAAAGGTTTTAATAACTCTTATTCTCTTTAGCTAAACGGTCAATTAAAAATTCAGCATCAACTTACCCTTCAAAGAAGCTTCAGGAAGATTTTGAGCTCTCTGATAACCACCTGACACAGTATCAGTTCCATAGCATTCAGCAGGCCAGTGATGAGATGGCACACTTACACTGCAACTGTTAAATTTCATTTCCCGTATTTCATTCTATTAAAGATAGGGTTTCAATTAAGAGAATGCAAACATATGAAATATAGGTATTTGCAGAAAACCTAAGGAATGATTCCTACGCTCCTTTGCTATTTAAAAGCACTTTCAAGATCTGAGAAAAAAAAAAAAAAAAAAAAAGAAGAGTTAACTGCTACAATAATCCACGATCTGCCCATGCTTTACAAAACCGAGACTGTTCCCTGAAGCTACAAATAAACCCAGAACCAAGATGACAACAGCTAAGCTGAAGAAAGCACAACTTTCTGCACATACAATCCTCAGCATTACTTCCTATATCTGAGTACCAAATTAGAGTTCGTAGGCAACAAAGTTTTACTCTTGCCCTGAATTTAAGCAGATGTTTATAGCATCTGCTTGTAAGTGAAGCTAAGTTCAATGCTTGGATCACAAAGTACTTACCAGAACAAAAAGATCAACTGTTCTGCACTGAATATAGTGACAAAAGTTGTTTACCTTTAAAGCTCCCATTTGCTGACACAGCTTTTGAAGTAAGGACTTGTGATCTTCTGCCCACTGAGGGAGAGCCTTAGAAAAGAAGAAAAGCTTATTGAACTTTGATTTTCTTACACAAATAT